TTATAAATAAAACCAAGAATTATAACAAGTATTACGAACAGAGTCTGAGCAAAGTTTTGCAGAAATAAAATCTTAAAGCTGAGAGACTCAATAGAAGGTTGACGGTTGTTAACATATATTTGTATATATATAAAAATAAATAAATTGAATGTTTCCAGGAAAAAAGAAAAAAACGCTAAAAGCAGGCATTTCAAATAAACGTAAGGTTGGTATCTTAAGATGTTGATATCTTGAGATGCTGCTTGGCTATAATTAGATCAGAGAAATTATAAGTTGGAGAAAAATTTGATGGAGTAGCATAAGTAGGAGAGCATTCGTTATTTAAATCAAGCGTAGCAGAGCTGGGAGTCAATTAAAATAGTTTCGAAGCATACTCCTTAGTTAGGTGTAGCCTACACTTTAGTTAAGAGTAGTCAAGACTACAAGAAATTGTAGCAGCGTAGTAGGATACTCCTTAGTAGCATAAGGAGAAGTGTTTATAAGTAGGACTGGCCTATATATCCTATATTAGCTGAAATTGTAGCAGTAGCAGAAATGTTTGTAGTAGCACAAATAGTAGTAGTACCAGAAATAGTAGTAGCATACTCTTTACAAACTTTAATTTAGTAATGGTCAGCATTTAAGAGCTTTTCCCAAAGACGAATCATATGATAAATTTTGTATTGCTTCTCTCTATTTCAATAATATGCTATTCAAATTTCTAGGGTATATTAAACATAACGCAATAAATTGAGTCTGTCCGAGAAAGCAAACAATTTCCTAGATGTATCTTCCATGATTTTTATTTTCTTTATTTTCTTTGCTGCTGGCTGTTGTGTTTAGGTCGTGTTTATGGCATGTATTAATTTTCTGATTTGATGAACCATCAATGAGGGTGATGGTGAGCGTAAGGGTGAGGGTGAGGGTGAGGGTGAGGCCGCAGCCGGCAGCTGTTATCGTTATCCTGAAAATTCGATCTAGCGCCTTCCTTCATCGACTCACAGTATCAACGGGCAAATTTGTAGCCATGCCCAGAAGGCCGTTAAGTGGGCTTAATTGTTATGGCAACAGCTAAGTCGGGCGATGCCCCAAATATTGTAGCAAACATTAATGCCTACGCCAATTACGCATCTCGCCAAAAATATTAAATTTCAAGCATCGAAAAGGATTCCCCACTTTACTAATCATATAATATTGCATTTAACCTTTGCCTTCGTGCGCACCATTTCAACTAATTAACAAATTCGAAGGAAGAAATAATAAACTGTTTGCTACAACTCCTGTTGCTCTATTTAAAGAATCCCTTTGATATTAAAACCTCGACACAGACCCATTCGCATTGCGAACGTAAATGAAAATCATTTTTACTCCAATTACAATTATATGGCATATGAAATTTGTGCATCATTTCGAAATGAGAAATAAGAAATAATCATCAAATGTGAAAGATATTAAAAACTTTTGCCATTTACCACCCGTTCGCAAAAAGAGCTGGTTGTTTGGCTGGTTGGTTTTGCATTGCAAACAGCAACCTAGTGTTTTTTTTTTTTCCTTCTTATTCTTATATATGCTTGCTTAAATAAAGTTTAAAGTTTGTCTAGCTGGCTATGATTGCTCGCTGCAAATGGCAAAGCTAAAGGCAAAGTTATGTGAGCCGCTTTTGACTCTGATTTAGTTCGCTTGAACCTTCTTGAATATGAATTTACCTTCCATAAATACCAGCTGCATCTGAAAGCGAGTATTTTGGCAGTCGTACACATATGCGACAAATTGACTTTTTCAATCCGATGCCACACAGAGAGCAGCTGGTTAAATAAATCTTACTCAACCAAAATAAAAAAATAAAAAAAATAAAAAATGCAAAAAAAAGTAAGATAATTAAAATATGTGCAGCACAGAAATCGATTTCGAAAAAGTGTGCTGTAGTCGAGCTTGCTCGACCACAAGATTCAATGAAACCAGCGAAAAACTTCTATTCTGTTTACTCAAGAAACAACATATGAAAACACACACACACACACATGCGCTCTGCTAACTGCGTAGCGACTGCGCTTGTGCCGCAGTATGGGCTATAATATGAGAATTTAATTGTTGAATAGATTTAATTTGTAATAAAACTTGCAGAATTCATTCAGATGAGTATATCTACCAAATAGATATATAGAATATTAGAAATA